CTCGTGCTTCCTCCGCCCTCCGCTGCGAGCCCTGGGAAGACTCAAACGCCACATGAAGCACAGCGGCATTGTGCACAGACCCACTCCTCCCTCTCAGAGCGGCACACGAGTGGCTTAGTGCTCCAGGTCACCTCGGCCACGAGGCCACCAGACAGAAGGGGCTGGCCAGGTGAGCTGCCGGGCTTTGGCTGCCTTTGTTTAAGCAGAGGAATGTTGTGGGTGTTCGCAGAGAGGTCGGATACAGCATTTTCAGGGGGCAGGCTGGTGTGCATACCAATGCACTTCCTCCAAGCCTGTCCCTGCCAGCTACTATGGCCAGCCTGGTGAAACCAGGCAGGAGCAATTGCTCAAAACATCCCTCAAAACAGATTTTGGACCAGTTTAAAGCTCCCCCAAGGGAGCTTTAAATGCTGTTTAAACAATGTTAAGAATCTGCCTTAAATGAACCAAACCCAGCCGCCTCCAGAGGGAAGGATGGAGACGCCAGGACATTAAAACACCGTTATGGACTTTGCCATTTCCCTGGGGCTGCGCTGGAGATGTTTTCTACCTGGCATCCGCTGATGGACCTGCAAGCTCAGCTGCTCCTGCTGCCACCGAACTTGGTATTTCAGGCAATTTCACGTGCCAATGATGCCCATCGTACTGCAATTAAATTGCCATCCTCTGCTCTCATTGCCGGAAGCAGGTGGTCTTTAATCAGCCTGTGCATCACTCCGCTTTCACCGTATCTCCTCTGAGGGTAATGAGGAAATCGCCTGCTGCTTGGGGTGCCCTCCGCATGTCCCTCCTCCTCCTCGCAGAGCTGGGTGGGGGTCACCGCCCCACGGCAAAGCCAGGACGTCCGAGCAGGATAAAAGCATCCATGTGCTGCTTGCAGCCAGACCTGGGTGAGCTGCGCCACGCTGCAGGCTGGGTGGAAGCAAGCCAGAGCAGACGCCGTGCTGTTTTAATAGAGGTCCTGAGTTCATCAGGCTGTGCTCGGCACTACCACGGCCCGGTACACTGGGTCCCGAGGAGGCACGGACTCGCTCCAGGCCAGCTCTCCATCTGGCTGGAGCCGGCGTGCAC